TGTTTATAAAATAAAATTTTCACACTTTACCATTTCCCTTGCTGGTAGATTTGTTTGCTAGTTCATCGAAAAAGCTGGGCGGATCATCAGCAAAGTATTGACTTAAACTTGGATTTCCCCTTGACGAACCCTTTGAATCCATCTCTTCAAAAATTTAATTAAATCCCAAAATGAATATGATTTATATAAAATAAACAATACTCTAGTAAAAATTGCGTTCTTCTATTTGCCATGAAAACAAATTTTTCAGCTGATAATCAGCTGACACAAATGTTTCTTCTTTTTGCGCTGCTATTCACGATAAGAAACACAATCGCACACACGACCGGAGGATTGCTGCATGGATTTCATCAGCTTATTAACTTAATACGACCGTACTTCTTTGCTGTCTTCATAATTTTACAACGATAGATTTGCAAAGTCAAAAAGACTTCCTATTAATTAAAAAAAGAATCTAATAAAAACTAAAAATTTTGAATTGCAGATGTTATATTACACCTTAATGAGCCTTGGGCCAATAAACAGCTGTTCGACCATTTGGATTGTAAATTCTAATCAATTTTTGCTTTGGGGCTTTTATATCAGTTTAGTTATAAGAAATATGAAGATTTAATTTCGTTTTTAGCTAAGTGGAACATGTCAAGCATGGAGAGCATTAACAGGAAGCAATTGCGAATAACAGATTTAAATTTAGATTGCCTTCTCCGCATTTTGGATTACTGCAGCGAGCAGGATTGTTTAAATCTTTGCCGTGTCCATCGGACATTGCGCAATGTAATCGGACAAAATATTTTCTACATGAAAACATTAGATTCCCTTATGTGTGGGCATCGCAATTATCCCAGAATATCGCAGAGGTATGATTTTTCAGTGTTTTCACCCTAGCCCCATATATTGATTTCCATTTTTTTTTGCACGTTAGAACCTATAACTCCCTCTCGTATGCTACACGTCTGAGTATAGCGCGTAATTGGCTACAAGGGCGTTATCGGGAGTACGAATACTATCATCATGCACAAATGTTTCCCACCAAGTTGCTGTTGGAACGTAATTTACTATATGTGACTCACATGGATTATTTGCGTGTGTATGGACGCGCTAATAATGAGCCATTACAACGGCGATACCAACAAGAAATTTCATCTAGTTCACGTGGTGACATTTCTAGCTTCACAAAGAAGCGAGATACAATATTTGTTGGTCGTGTCACGGGAAATTGCTACATTTGGGAAGATGGTTTTGCAAATGAATATCAGTTGCATAGCGCCAAGGAATATTTGCACTGTGTAGATTTTGAGGATGATTTATATGTAACCAGCACGAATGTATGTGCCAAATTGTGGCGTCGCACAAATGAGTTGGGGCTGCTGGATTTAGAACAAGTGGCAGAATTGCCGCAAGAATACAAAGTTTTAAAGCTATCCGAAGGTGGTGAGCGTTTATATGGTGGGCTATACACCGAGGCAGATAGGCAGGCGTTGCGTGAATATGATGTGGAAAGGTGAGTTTCAGTTATAAATATTTAACTGTTTGTTGTAATCACAACTTTGTTTTTATACTTACAGCGGCAAAGAAACGACACTTAACTCCAATACACTCTCCATTTACGACTTACTCATTAAGGATGAAAATGTACTCTTCACCGGCAACTTCGATACCACCTGCCGCATGTATGATCGGCGATCGCATCGTGATGAAGCTGTATTCGAAGATCCCTTCGATTCATCGTTTTATTGTATTGAATATGATGGCTTGTATGCACTTTTGTGTGGCGCAAAATATCACAGTCGTGTAAATTTATATGATATACGCATGCCAAACAAGTATCAACAATTATACTTTCCACGACGCAGCAAAAGAGCGAAGCATCCATCATCTCCTGTATATAGCATAGCCTGTGATAATCGTTATCTTTTAATTGCAACCGATCACAATCTACGAGTTTTTGATTTTAAGCAAAATTATGCAGAATGTCGTGATTATCGTAATATATTTAGTGACAAGCAACGTATTCCTACACTTTAGTTATGTATTATAAAATCAACAGGTTAATTACAGGCTACTCATGGAATAAGAGCACCGGGAAATTATGCTGCCTAGAAACTTTAGCGCTATCGCTAGCGCTACCTGTAGGCTTTGTTATTTGTTCCAAATTGACCGAGTTCTTAGTACATATTTTTTAACCGACTTCACAAAAAAGAGAAGGTAATATTATATTTATATTTTTTTATTTTTATTTTTTTGTGTATGTCACCGCATAGCTTTGGACCACGTTAACCGATTTCCATAATTCTTTTTTCATCGGAAAGATGGTACCTCAAGGGTGGTCCCATACTAATTTTGTTTAGATCCGATCCGATTGGATCGTGATGAAATTAACGATAATCTTAAATTTTTATATGAGAATTGAAGTCGGTTTTGTTTTTTGCTTAAAAATTACTTGTTATTATTAGCTTTTAAATTTATTTCCCAGTCCGTTTTATTAATATACTTGAATATTTAGGGAGGTTTTTCGGTGCATTGCGAATTGGCAAATGCTGTTTAAAGCGTACTGTTTTCGTATCCATCATCGGCAGGTCTTAAGTTACATATCGTTACCTTAATTCACAAAGGCCGTAACGAGCAAATTTTCTATTTTATAGAAGAGGCAAAGAACATTAGCTCTGATCCAATACTTTTCGTGAAAAATCCTGTAAAACTGTCAAACAGCAAAATTACTCTCTGAAGTGAGAGTAAAAAGTGAGTAACAACAAAAAGTGCGGGAACAAAAAATTCATTTTTCCTGTAAAAACGTCAACCAGTGATTGCTTGACACTTTTCATGATTTTACCAGAAGAAAAAGTTCGGGTGTAATCTTGCAACTTCATTCTCTACACAACTCTCCAAAAGTCACTCTCATTTACAGGATTTTGGAGGATTTTGGAGTACGGGAACATTTTTCCTGCAACTTCCTGCAAGTTCGTGTAAAATCCTGTAAGTTCATGGAGTACTGGATCAGAGCTATTATAAAAAGTGAATCAAGTGTTGTGTTTTTCTCTCTGGGAGAGCAACTGAGAAAAGATCTGAACGCTTTTGAGTTGTGAACTCAACTTCAAATTTAGTTCAGAACTAGAACAGAACGATGACACTTTTAAATTTTTAGAGAAGACTTAAATATATGCTAATAAAATGTAAAAGTTTTCGAAATTTCGAATAAAGCATTGGTGACATATTTTTTAATAAGAAAAATAAGTGGTTTTCAATAAGTTTCCATTTTGCAATTTTTTACCGACTAGTTATTGCTAGTTGCCATCAAGTTCTTAGCCAATATAATTAAATCCAATTATGAGTTATTATGCAACTTCTGATTCATGTATGTTAAATTCAGTACAAAGCTGCTTGCGGATCTACATACATATGCATGTATATAGTTATAAGGTTTGTTCGTCGAAAATCCAGCAAGAATTATCCAACACTCAAAATATCAGAGAGTAAGAAAAAAATTCTCTCAAATTCTCTCTCATGTTGAGAAACTTGCAAATTTCTGCACGAACGCAAATTTGCAGGAATTTGCAAGTTTCGCTGCCAGCTGGCGTCCACGGTTGCATTTCAAACATAAACAATTTTTATAGAATTTTTAAAATTCTTTCGGATGGCCAAAAACAGGATACACATGTATATTTCTTGTTGTTCTGACTTTCTTTAACATACATTTCAATTTCTTCATCGTACTAGCTGTCGGATTTCTTAAATCGACTCTGGTTGCAATTGCATTCCGATTGCGAATACCATTTTTTTCAGCCGAATTAAGTTCAAATCATTGGAATTAACTAAATTAATTATATCAACAATTATTTACTTCCTTTTTTCATAAAAAAATCGCTCGTGTTTATAAATTTTTAAAATTAACGAACTAATTTATTCAAATTATTGTAGACAAAAATGCAACCATGCGCCACAACCACATGTTTTTCGTGTTTGCAAATTCTTGCTGGCAAAATTTTTTCCAGCAAGAATTTGCAACTTCTCTCCGAGAGAACTGTCACTTTGCTCTCACAATTTTTGAGTGTTGGATAATTTTTTGGTCTGCACGAACGCGATTTGGGCAAAAATCGTGATAATTCGTACAAATTCGTACAAATTTTTTGCTCGACGAACAAACCTATTGACTGCTGAAAGCAAGCATTAGGCTAATATGATGATTATCTCTATATACTACTAGTTTATAATACAAAGACAATAGCGAAGTGTATAAATAACTAAAGCAATGCAAGAGTAGAAGGATAAGAAATGTCTACTATGTACTACATATATAAATTGCAATAACTACAAAAATACAAAAAGGATTAATGAAAGTAAATTAAAACTTTAAATAATGTTTCGCCATTTTTTTAATCTATTTTTGGCTTCAAGGTGGTAAGATTTTGTAGTTGAAAAATTATATCATGTGGATATGTAGCGACACTGGATTGACCTTGATAACCAAGGTGAACAATATTATATTATATAAACGCAATATCGATAAAAAACAAAGAAATTACGATTAAACGTTTTTGTTATGATGATATCTTAGCTCTTAAGGCTGAATTAGCAATTAAATGTTCCGATAAAACGTACGCGCAGCTCTATAAACGATTATAACCAATAGGTGCCATACTATAAGACCATATCCATAGACGCCTTAGCCATAACGTAGCAAAATACTTCAGAGCTGCTTATGGTTATGACGAAAAACCAAAATTAAATAGATACCTAGGGTTATGGTATGGTTATAGCACCTCTAATTAAAACTTTTGCTAAGTGCTTGGCCCAGCTTCTTTCCCAATTTTTGGAGTGCGTCTTGGGTTATGAGAAGCCTTTTCATGGCAGAAGTACAGTCGGAGAAATGCCCTTGCCTGCCGAGAGTCGACAACTGTTACAAAAACGTTTTCTTATTTAGATATTGCACGGCCAAGAGATTGAACGCAGGTTCTACGTTAGATTAGTACGCAACTCAAAAGTTAAAGGCGGAAAGGTGTTCCTCGCAAAAATACTATGCTCAGAGTAGCTGGAGTGGGACTTACCTGGACTATTTTTGGATGAAAAAATTAAATCGACGTCGATGTCGACAACCATAATAGAGCCTAATGTTAAAATTTTCTTTTGTTTGAGACTGGAAGTGAGAATGGATTTGTGAGATTGAAAATTTGAAAACATTTTTGTTATGTTAGCAAACTTCAAAAATGTTCAGGCTGCCTCTCAGCGGTTTTACCTTAAAATTTTTGTGTCATGGTACTAAACATGGTAGAAAAAAGAAGATAGTTTCAATAAACAACTTTTTGACGGATACTGGGATTTTTGAAGCTTCATAATAGTTGCGTTCCTTGTCTCCCATAAAGAGGCACTCAAACAGTATAGTTATGTACCGCCTTGTACCGCACTTCCAATACCGCGTCTGTTTGAGTATCCCTTAAATAGTCAGAAACAGTCCGAAGTAGTCAGATTTAGTCCAAAAAGCGTTTCTTAACTTGAAAATGACAGCAGAAATGAGAGAGCAACAAAAAAGTGTTAAACTCAACTGAATTTAAATTAACGGAAATAAAACAATACACGAAAAGTGAGAAAAATCGAAAAACCAAATAAATGTGAACTGAAAATGGAGCGAGGCAAAAAGTAATTTATATATTAATGGCCTTATTCATAAAAAATAAAGTAGCTTTATAAAAGGATTATAAATTGAAAAATATATGAAAACGTCAATTTATAAAGCTCTTTAAACCTACTTTATTTTTTATGAATAAGGCCATAAGTGTTTATTATGCTTGTGTGAATGTGTTTTGTAAATATATGTATACTATATACTATATATCCTTACCTTAATATAGAAAGGCCCTATCTCACAACGACGCTGAAATACAAAAAGCCGTAACTAAGCAAACATCCGAAATGCCCGCTTCGATTGATTATGATGTATTTCATCGAATTATGTGTCCCAAACCATTTTAAGTAATAAAAAATTTTAGTCAGTTATGGCTTTTTTGCATTTCAGCGACTGTATGAGTTAGGGCCTTTCTATATTAAGGTAACGATATATATATTTTCTATATAATATATTTCTATTCTTAATTGACATTCGTTTTATTGTTGCCATTCTTTGGACTAAAAATTTGGTTTTTGCATTCCTTTACTTTTTCCTGTTATTATCTTTTAGTGAGCGAACTTTCCTTACGTTCTTGCATTTTGACACTTTTCAGATTTTAGTCAGAAAAGGATAAGGAATGGACCTGGTTTGTTCATGTTGATCGCAGCGTTACCATATTGTTAATATTTAAAAATAAATTCGGAATTTCGAGGTGGGAAATTCTTTCACAGTTAATGGGTGTAAATATTTTAGTCTTCTTAGAACATGAAATACATATGTATTGAAAATATGTACATAAAAAGAATGCAATTTTATTTCGAAATACAACGGATATTGGCATATGTACTAACGTTTATGGAATTTCTCACCACTACCCCAAAAATTAATCTATACTATGTATGTATGTTGTGTTAACATTATTAAGTGTTTTTATTCAACAAACCCATCAAAACATAAATAATAGAAAAGCATTAAAGTAATACCCATCCAAAAACTCCATGTACTCATCTAAGTACATATTCTTCGTTTCCGATGGGTTCCCCAAGTTGGAGCCTGCAAGAAAAATTCATTATATTTCTACGTTTTGACCAACAGTTTCTCATTACCTTTCATTTTACAGCACTGCACTTTTGGAGAGTGTGGTCTTATTCTGGCTAATGCCAATATCCGTGGTAGCAAAATCTTGAGAACTTGAGAGCATATGTATGAACATACGGATTTCTAGAAGGCTTCGCAGGCTTCCCGCCATTTTTGTCTCACAAACGGAAGCGCTGGAAATTTAAAAAATTTTTACCGTCTTCAAATATGCGCAGAAACCAATTAACCGGGGTCAGTAAAGCGGGGGACTGTATTGTGTTTCAAATAGTATGTATTTCAAAATTCTGTTTAACCATTTTTTTGTCTAAAACATTTACTCATTTGAATTGTGATTTTGTATTAAATATTTTTATTTTGTATTACATGAACATAATTATATGGTAATAAAAAAGTAAGATTTTTTTTATTGCATTCCGTTACAAAGTAATGTTAAATTTTATGACAAAAAAGCTTAAAGGATACATTTATCAAGTCACACAACAATAAAAATTGGAAAATAGTGAAATTTAGATAATGCGAGAGCAATTTGGTT